AAGATGCCCCGCCAAATAAAAGGCCACGCCTATACGCTCCTGGGGAGGATGAGGGGCAAAGTGCGCTGGCTCCGCCGTCGACTCTCCTAGACGACAGCGAGATGTCCGAGTTGTCCGAGTTGTCTGACTCCAAATCGGATCGCAGGTTTGAGGAAGAGTCGGGTCGTATGTCGGAAGAAGAGTTGGATCGCATGTCTGAAGATGAGCCCGACGCACCGGAAGCTGTCCCGCCACCGAGTTATGCTCCGGCAAATCCTCTGCCGCAGACAGATCCTCTGAGGAGGCAGACACGCGGCACGACCCGTTCAAATCCTGGAATCGCTGTTTTCGAGGTATACCAGGACTCCCGGCGGCCCCGGCGGCGCCCATAGTTATGTTCGTTTGTACAATCTCTGTAGAATTCGAATCGTGCTCGTCTCTGAGTCAGAGTGATATCTTCCTTGAGCCTGAAGCTCTCAGCCCGAGTTTTGCAATGTATCCGAGGGGCAGCGGCCGCTGACAGGACGGTCGGTTGTGGGACGACGTCAGGAAGGTCAAAAAAAAGTTGCAGGAAGAGAAAAGCACTGCCACTTACCAATTCGGGTCTGTGTAACGACGCTGCGCCGACGCAGATGAAAGAGAGATGGCATAAATCAAGACTAGACGAAAGACAAGACAGGTACATAGGGTGGTAGTAGGCTGGCGCTGTGCCGCATACTAGTAGAATCAGATAGATAGCTGGGGGGGGGAGGGAAGGAGTAGAGTCATTCAATCGATCGTAATCCGATAATCCCGCCTCCTCCGTATCCATATCCGCGTCATTCCGCGAGCAAAGTATGTCCTGATGCCCCAGCAAAGCCATCCATGTGAATGTCCAGCGGCATGGAACTCCTCCAGCACGCGGGGGCGAAAGCAGTCGGTCGGTCAGTCGGTCGGTAGTGATGTCGATGGCGCGGGTAAGCCCGTGTAGGACTCCTCTTATACGTAGTGTAGTCTGTCCTGGGCGGCGTAGTCAGCGTCGGCGTCCCCAGTCGCAGCGGCTACGGGGGATGACTCACGAAGTGTGTATCACGCTCCGGCGTCGAGGCGCTCCCCGCGCGCGAGCACGCGGACGGCGCGCGGGCTGACCTCCATGGCGAGCGCCGCGGGCGGGCGTTCGACGAGCCCGCCGCCACCCCTGCCTCCGCTGCCGTAGGCCCCAGGGCCTCCGCCGCGCTTGGTCTGAGTGTTTGCGCGCGGGCGACGAGGGGCCTCCATGGTGGTGGGGGTGCCTCCGCCGCCGTTCGCAGCGCCGGGGGCACCGTTGGGAGCGCCGCTGGAAGGCGCGACAGGGAGGACCGTGATGCCCGCGCGCACGGCCCAGTGACTGACGAGCGTGCCCGCAGCGCGAGGCTCGTGCTTGGTGAGGGCGCCTCCGTCGGCAGTGCTGGCGGGCGGCGCGGCGGAGGAGAGCACCGCAAGGCACACCGTGCGAGGGGGCGTCTTGGGCGTCTTGGCTTTGTCTTTGGCGACCGCGGTGGCGTGAGGGGTCGCAGCAGCCTCGTTGAGCTCCCAGCGTGCACAGCACACTGTGCGCCGGACCCACTCGGGCGAGGCATCAGGGACATCTGCCGAGACCACAGGGTTGGGTGCGGTCGTCGGGGCCGTAGAGGTGGCGGTAGCGGCGGTGGCGTTGTTGATAGCCTCGGAGAAGGGGATAGCATCCCAAGGGACAAAGGCGTCATCCTGCTGCACGCGGATACGGGGGTTCGTGCCCACTTGAGCCTCCAAAATGCGCGAGGCGGCACGGGCGCGCTGAGCAAGGGCCGAAGTACCTTTCTTCAGGAGATCAAGTGTGTTCAGCGCTGGGTCAAGGGTTCAGTGAAGGAGCTCAGGGGCACACAAAAAGGGTGGAAACGCACCTTCAAGTGGCACGATAACAACTTCCGCGCGACCATCGCGGCACCACTTCTTCACCTGGTGCAGGGCGTGCACCAGCACGCTGGCATCAACCACAACGACGTCCGCATCCTTCTCGTCCTCCATGGAGCGCCGAACGCTTGCCGGGTGCGCTTCCTTCGGGATAACCAGGACGCCAGCATTCTTCTTCCGTGGGGCCGGCTTGGCGGTGGTGGCAATAGTCGCATTACTCCCGGGCTGCTGCTGGCCACGCTTGGGCGAAGATTGAACAGGCGAAGCCCTATTCCGCCAGTTTCCGGACGCAGCAGACTTCTCCAGCTGCTCCACTTGATGATTGAGAAATGCGGCGCCTAGGGCGCGAGACATGGCCTACAGATTCGGTCAACGGCATCTATTATAGGTGATGGAAGGTTACCTTCTTGTCTGCCATTGGTTCGAAAAGCGCAATAGGGTGTTTATACGCTGGTAGGTTCTGCGGAGTGCCCAATTTTGTGGCCACTTTGTGGGTCCACAAGGCACACAGATAGAGGTATTACTGGGCTTTTAGAGGCTGGGAGACGATTTGTGCTGGCAAGGATCCCGCACAGGTTCCCTTGAGGTGGGGGATATCGCCGTTTACAAGGAGCAGCAAGTAAGTAGCAGTGGCGAGAAGCAGGCTTAATTATGTGGCTGCGCAATTTCCTTTTCGGGTGTTTTGCGGTGTGGCCTTTTCCCAGGAGTCCCCGCCGCACTGCATCTGCACCGCAACACCCTTGGACCGCAGCTTGCTTGGACCTCGACAAGGCCATGCATATCGCCAATAAAGCTACAAAAAGGCGGTCATCTATCCATGCCGATGCGCTGAATAGTTTCGGGCAACTCCGATCCCGATTTTCCGACACTGGAGATAGCATGGTTCCAGGCGGCCTAAAATTGCGGATGAAGACAAAAGAACAAACCGGGACTAAGTATAGGGTCTCAGCTTGACTGTTGGCAAACCGTGAACAATTGGAGCTGCATTTCCTGACGCACTTGATGATCTTGGCATCCGCCGACAATTACCGCCTCTGAGACATACGCCAGCTCGGGGTCTTATCTATGCGCAAGGAGATGTAGATCGGCCGCATCTCTTGCTCAGACCATACGCTGGGTCCCTTCTAGTTCTCAGTGGCTCTCGGGCCTTTACTATACGGTCAAGCTCTCTCTCGGGTCCGAGCGCTGTCTTCTCTTGCCTGGTGAATTTATTCTCTCATGATCCTTCCATAAATCGGTTCGACAAACGTAAACTCTTGTCCCTCACCGGGAATGTCATTACTCACTTCAATCACCTAATTAGCGGCCCTTAATACTTATCCCCCAATTTTCGGCCGCTGGAAACCTGTGTAAGTGCAGTTGTTCATTCTAGCTGTGGCAGCCGGCTTCTTTATATATAACCACTGCCCCCTCTAAATTCAGCCTTTGACGTGATGAACGAACGGCATACTTCAATTCGGCAGCAGGAAATAGCCATGCCTTGCCCCAGGCTCCTTCCCAAGCCGAGTAGATCAATGGCCCCCTCTGTGCTCCGCTTAGGTTTCCATTCATAGCTTCACCGGGCTCCAACTGGCTGTACTTGTACGAGCTGTTGAGTTACGATCACCGCGGCGCACGATTGTTCCGGGTCTTGCTACTCCCCGGGGCCAGGTCTAATAAAAAGTGGATCTATTCGCTCGACATTCGCAGGGATTACCCCCCGCCTCCCTAACCCCCGATGGAATCATAAGCTCGTAAATGCGGTTTGACCGCCACGAAAATTATTTATGTCTGAGACAAGCATCGATATCCGCTACTTGCCAACAAAATCCTAGGGAGCACTTTCATAAATTTAGGTAAGGGAGCGGAGAAGTGGATATCGGTAATATAGACCATAAAAGGAAATTTTGCCTGACAGTGGAGCGTGCGTTGAACCAGAGAGGAACGGGTAACTTAAGAGATCAGGTGACCAATTACTGATCAAACTACACCACTCCAACATACAAACAGCGCTACTCAGTGTCATTATATGTAGTCATGTAGTCCATGATTTAGATTTGGGACTTTCCTCCGATATTCTCATCATTTTTTCAAGTTCGTCTGGAAGCACGGGCGTTTTCCTGCCAATGCCTGGGCAAATCCAATTCGAGCTCAACAAGTTGCACACTTCCGATAGATGTCGCTTGTACGAGCCAATTACATCGGGCAATACGAGCAATATTTTCGGAAGCCGGCGACTAATGAATGTGCATCACTAGGAACCCCCCCCCCACACTGATGATCAGACTCCCCAGCAATCGGACCAAAATGCAATGAATTAGCCAATCAGGTTTCAACGAGAGGTAGCCTTTTCAACTCACCGGTCAATTCAACTGGTCAAACATCAATGCCGATTCAGAAATTGTGAAGTCTCTCACCTTGAATGGGACTTGTCGCCCCGAAAATTCGAGGAGCTGGAAATAAACCCTTCCTCTCCTCCTGCGCCAGCGTTCCAAGATGTTTTAATAAGTGTCGATGTCGTCAAAGCCTGATGTATAGAAACTCATTGTTGTTATTTACTGTTTTTAATTATGGGTTGAGGGATCTGGTCTCTCCGCAATAATTCTGTTGTCCTTAGAGAAACTACACTAGAAAGAGCTCCAGACTGAGGGTTTCTGAAGTGACTTCTTATTAGCAATGAAATCAAGCCATTAATGGACGACTGTATCACATTTTTAGGCAGACACGGACACAGCGGTCCATTGTTGTCTCATTTCCCCAGCCTTTGTCACGATCAATCTCCGTCCACTGCATTACTGGCCCCCTTCTGACTCTCATCTACTGCTACGAGGAACGATTTAAAGTTAAGCTGTGCATATGTTGTAAACAGAATTGGATCGACAGATAATAAATACTCCGGGCAATATTTTTGAACCAGACTCGGGCGCATGCGGATGTTTGAACCATGTGATAATTTGATGAAAAGTAGGCATCTGAAACGCGGATCTCGGAAGGCACAATATAACACCCGGACCCCTTATCCGCCACAATGGTCAGAGGACGTAAAAGCTAGTTCAACACGACAACCAATGTTTCCCCCATCCAGCAATGACTCTGCAGGTCTAGTATGATCAACTGAAGGACATTCTAACGGGCACATGGTGTAGTTGGTTATCACGCTCGCTTAGCATATCTATTCTTGTAATGCGAGAGGTGTTGGGTTCAATTCCCAATGTGTCCATTTTTCGGTGCCTTTTTGAGGCTAGCAAAAGGAGAAGAACATTTTCTTATTTATCGGGATAGAATTCAATGTTTCGCCCTCAACTTGGTGATTGCCTAGCATGGTGCGGACGACATATCCTCAGAGTACTATGCAGAAAAAATGGAGGCAACCCAGAACTAACGGAGAACTGATGTTGAACCTTTTTGATGTGTGTTGGCTGATGTTGATTTCCCATCCCATCAAAATCCAATTGATGCGTCCATACCTATCATTCTATAAATTGAGCCTTCAAGGGTGTGTGGAAACAGTTGGAATGGAGCCATTCAACAACACTCGCAGGGAGCAAAAATATCTGAATAAAATACTTCAACTTTGAACGCAACATTGGCCAGACCAACTGCCATCTGAAATTCCAAGCCGACGGTTCAACCTCAAGCCCCCCAAACCCCCGCTAAATCTCGAAATATATTTCTAGAGGACGGGATACTTAGCTCACATGTGTTTTGGATATTCGATGATGATGCGGGAAGATGAAAGCGTTTGTGTTAGACTTCGGTCCTGGATGATTGGAGGTAACGCGGTCCTGCGGAACATAAGCATTCGATCGCCTGACTTCATTCTATACAGCTACTGATTACAATATGGATCCGGGTGCTCGCTTCGAAGACAATGTTTTAGGTACAGATAGGGTGGAAAAAAAACCCTATTGTTGGCATTTTAGAGCGTGCATCGTCCAGTGCGTGCGGAATCTCTGCCTTGATGGCACGTGATCCCATTGTGGTGGCACAGGGTAGCACTCGAAAACACTCATTTCAAGTCCTATGGGGCCCAAACTAGGGATAATCCAAGCAGTATGGTAGAAGAGTCATAATTTCAACTTGTTGCACGATAGATACAATTTTGAGTGTGTTTGAGGCCGTTCTTTGAATTCCGATGTTTTCGGGATCCGGGTAGAATTTGTTCGTGTTTGCAGACAGGTCCAGCCCTTTAGCGAAGAATTGCTCGCTTCGCTCGCAACTAGGAAGTGCCGACTCCGTCGGCATATACCTTGCTTGCACAAATTCATGAGAGTTCATGAGACCGAGGCCCGAATATGGTTTTCTGCATTTTGTGCACTGGGCCATCACCCGCTCCTGTTTGCGCCCGTTGCGACTCCCAGCCTCTATTTCTCTTGGGCGTTGCCAGCTCCTGCTTGCGCTCATTGCGAGCTCCAGCTTCTTTCGAAAATCACACGTGTATTTATCTTGGCGTCACCTGCTCCTGCTTGCGCCGATTGGAGGCTTCGACTTCCGGAGAGGATGGATTTGAGGCACAAAATAGTCATCTGGAATATGAAGTAATTTGAATCTGCTCTGCCGGACTCTGCATTTGGGGTAAGGTGTAAGTTGAGAGTCAGACTCTGTTTAGTCAAGTTTTGCGGTTGAGGAATGGGACGTAAATATGAAGTAAAAATTGACATGCAGGCCAAGTCTAGGCTCTCGGGAGATTCAGGATCACCGGGTGCGACGAAAAGTGTGCCAATTATGAGGGTGGAGAGACTAGGGAGCACCGACTGCGTCGGCAAATACCTTGCTTGCAGGACAAAACCGCGAGGTTTAATTCAGGTTCAACTTGCAGCCTGTGTTTCCACCCGCTGCTATAAGAATAGGCGGGTGCCGAGAATGGTACACCGGACCCTCAAGGTCTGAGTGTGGTGTCGAGGCGGTCTCACGCAACTCCCCTGCGGTAACGCTATCGGCGATGGGCCAAAGGCGGGAGCCGAAAGCTCGGTACGTTGCGGTGAGCGACACTGTTGAGCCAGCAGCCTTTTGCACTCACGGGATATTACCACTGGCAATTCAATGTATCAATGTCGTATCTCCCAAGCAAGTTCTAGCTGCAGCAGTGTGGGAATGGCCATTCAAAGTCTGACCAATCATTTCGATGTGCCAGTGCCTCCGGCAGGCACCGATCGTTGCCGCCCGCTGCCAACCACTGGCTCTTGCTGCGCGCTAGGCAGATAATTTATTAGCTTATCTTAAGTTCCGGCGGTCCCGACCGAAGCTGGACTTGAGTTCGAACTGTAACTTAAGTTTGCGTAACATATGTGTAATACAGCCACGTACACCAACACTACACTTACCCTGAGGGTAACAGAACTTAAGTTTTGTGAGCAACTTAAGATCGAAGTGTACTTAAGATTTGTAACCTTGAAAGAGAATCAGACAATCATATTTTTCTTCTACCTGAGTACTTAAGTTCCTATACGACTACTTCAGTTCTGATACAACTTGAGTTCCCGTAAACTCGAGTTCTGATGCAACCTGAGTTTAGACTTAACGACGCTGAGGGGTTCTTCAGCGAGAATGGAGTATCATTTGAAATGAGTACGTACTTTCGATTTGGACTTGGCCTTGCCCTCCGAAGCAGCGTCTGTCAGTTTCTGAGCACGCTCCTCTCGTGCCTCCTGTACAGGTATAAGCTCTCCAGATCGTGGATATAAGGAAAAACTCTCACCTGCGGTGATTTCTTGACTCGGCGCCCTCTTCCCAACGTCGAATTTTCAGGCTGGTCATTACCAGGCTCCAATGTGACAGCCTTGCGTCTCTTATTCCTCAGTGGCGGTGCTGAATCTTCAGCCTCGTTATTAGCCACCGCCGCCTTGCGTTTCTTGTTCTGGGGCTGCGGAGGAGGCGGCGGTGGAACCGGAGATGGAGAGCGAGGAGGAGGAGGAGCAGGAGCAGGCGGGGATACAGGTGGCAGCGGCGGAACCGGAGATGGAGAGCGAGGAGGAGGAGGAGGCGGAGCAGGCGGGGATATAGGTGGCAGCGGCGGAACCGGAGATGGAGAGCGAGGAGGGGGAGGAGGTGGAGCAGGCGGGGATACAGGTGGCAGCGGCGGAGCTGGGGATGGAGAACGAGGAGGAGGAGGCAGGGATACAGGCGGCGACAGAGCCGGGGATGGAGAGCGAGGAGGTGATTCGGGATGGGCAGGTGCCTGTCGGAAGAACCCTAGCGTCCCCGCGCCTGCGTTGGCGGCAAGCGTGCCGGCCAGCTCATACCACTCGCCACGGGACAAGTCGGTGAGCCCCGTTTGGGCAAACCCGAGCTGGAATCGAGTTGCGTCATAGAACTTGTCGGGCTGGCTCGCAATTTCAGCCCAAGGGATTTCCCCTACACCAAATGCAGTGTCTGTAATAGATAGTGTTAGTATCTTTGTGAATTGAATCTCAGAAATGGAACGACGTACCGAAGGATTCTTCCAAGTACTTTGTTACTACTTGCATGAGCGTCTTGTGGGAATGGTCATCGAGCTCCTCCGCAGAGAGAGGAAACACGGGGGACGCGCGTTTGGCCGAGCCTTTGGTGGTAGCAAGATATTCTTCATGTCTATGTCAGATCGGAGTCTTCTCGTACATTTCGCAACTCGCCTTTCAGTGGCTCTTCAGCCCATGTATACATGGCATTGAGCGTCTGCTGAACCAATTGCGGGTTGAGCTTCCTGAATGTCTCGGGGACAGTAATGTCTTCGGGGACGGCCTCTGTCCTGCATGACTTGTCAGTTCTGCATCAAGCAAGAAAGGTGAAGGTCATTTACCACTCGAAGACCACCTTGCCATTCTCGTTCAGCCAACCCATGACCATCATGGCCACAAAAGGGCGGAACCTGCGGCTGGCGTGCAGGTTGTCAACCATCTGCTCGAAGCCCGCTGCCACCAGCTTTTGTCGTCTGACCGAACGTTAGCGACGAAACAAGATTCATTGAAGCGCGAAGGACTTACTCGATCCAGTCCACATCTTCCTCCACGGCTGCTGCAGCGTCCCAAGCAGCTTTATCCTCCTGCGCCCACAGTAGGGCCTCGGCTTTGCGAGACTTCCCACCAGCGTTCGTCGGCCCTGGTAACGTTTTGGAATACTCGAAGATCTCGTTCTGGCGATCATTGCGGAATTTGTCGCGGCCGGAGTACGTCGTGATGCCCAGAAGCCTGGCTAGAGCGGGGTCCTCTCGAAAGGAGTCGGGATTGTCTTCTTCCTTCACAGGCTGGCGAGACTGGCGTTGCGTCGGCTCGGAGGCCTTGAGTTTCAATTTTTGGGCTGCCCGCTTGTTACTGACGACTTTCTGAATTGCCTGTTCAATCTAATGTCAGACCGCCGAAGAACATTCAAATGTTGAAGGGATATTTACCGATCGCCACCCGGCCTTGGAGTATCCGCGGAGGAGGCCTGCTCGCCCGTCTTCATCTTCTTCCTCGACCTCGTCGGCGTCGTCATTAGCAGTCGCGGCCTTGTTCTTCGCTGGGTGTTTTTTCTTCCAGGCCACAACGAGTGCGGGGATCTCAGCTTCCTCCGCTTGGTCCCTGGCGTGCGGTTCGTGCTGAAAAGCCTTGGCCGCAAACGCGTCCGTCTTCACCTGGTTGTAGAATGTGGTGGCAGCCTTCCCCTTAAGGCTTGCTAGATCCACATCCCGCACTGCAACGTCGAGAATCCAGCTGCGCTGGTGATCGTTGAGTTTCGGCACAGCCGTGTCCTGGCCTTTGGTGGTGAGAACCAGCGCCAGCTCGGGGAGTGGCATGACTTCTGGCACGTCGTTTGGGTTGTAGGGTTTGAACATTTCTTTGACCTTTGATTTCGCCATCGTTAAAATGTCGCCGCAGACGGGAAGACTAGATTTGGGACAGATGCGTTGAGTTGGGTGAAAAGAAAGAAGTGAGGAAATGCCACCCACCGGCTAACAAAACTAAAGTCCAATGCAAAACGTCGGAGTCCAGCTCAAAGCGTCGTGCATTATGCACTGAAAAAGGAAAGTGGGAGGCTGAGGAGTACATAAGTCGCCGTTACCTCGAAGTAAAGAATTACTCCTTACCTTCACAATGCCACCGCCCACACAATTCACTTCGCACAATGAGACACGTCGTCTATTCGGACCAGTCAATCGCCCGTATTTCGACACCAACGTACGCCACCGTGCTCTTCTGCGCAAGGCGCTCGAGTTCTTCACACCAGACGAACTGCACGAAATTTTCAGCGGCAATCCTACAA